TTATTATTATTATTATTATTATTATTACTACAATGTAGTTGTGGAGATTATCCAGTATATGACTGTGAGGCATTGCTAAACACAAATCACATAAAAACAAACATTATTGTTCTTAAAGTTGCCGTCCTGCTCTATGACTCACTGCCTGTAATTAGAAGGCTGCTTGTTCAAATCCCAGAGTTGGCAGAGTGATGTTATCAGTGGGGGCTCCAGCAAGCCCCCTAACCCCTAACTGCTCTATGAATCTCATTCACTGCTATGTTACCATCGGAGGATTTCATCTTTTCGGTGCCATTTCTCGACGTATATCGCACAGCAGGTAAGCAGCCTTACTTGTGGCCTTGTGGTAACATCGGGCTGTTTTACTTTCCGTGAGCTGCTGCTGGATTTGATGCTTCTTAATGGCTTACATTAGACATGTTCGCTGCCATCTCAGGCTATGAGCAGCCAGTACAGGCTTCTTCCCCATTCCATTTTTCCTCCCAGTTACCAGTGTACCGATTCTTGTTATTTCTAAGTATGCATTTACTTTTCCGGGGGGAATATGCACACACACTTTAAAAGCCATTTAATTTATTTCAAAACATGTCCCAGTTAAACCCTGTAACCCCATTTAGTCACTAACAGCAATCCGACTGCTAGCGCTGGTTAATTACTCATTACAGGCTGCACAAGCATGCAAAATGACTTTTAAAGCTCAAGTAGAATAGCAGGCGTCGGACTGACTGTGCAGCTTAGCGAGGGACCCCCTACCCCAAAAAAAAAGGCCTGACAGCTGACAGGAGTGTCTGCTTGTACGAGAGAAGGAGGTGGCAGGTAGCAGGACCCCTGCCTCCCCAAAACACGGTTCCGGCCAAAGGAGCCAGCCTGCAGAGTAAATTCACACATGGCTCTCTGCACATACTCTGCCCAGAGCACCTCAATAATAATAAAAGTACTTTTATTGTACCTTTTATTATATTTTTTTTCATTATCAAAGCCCATGAGTTTTGTGAAGGAGATAACCTCAAGCTGCACATGCAGAAAATCAATCAGTGCAACACTTTACACATGGCGAGTAAGCAAGTAAAAGTTACGACTATTTTTATTGCATATGTACTGTATGGTAGCACTTGTGCTTGATCCTTGGATGATGATGATAATAATCATAAGCATGCCATCATCATCATCATCATCATCCATCATCGTCAAAATTATGGCAAATGCTAAGTCTATAATTTGATAATTAACATTGAATTTTTGGTACAGCTACTATTTACAGTATCAGTATATTGACCCACACTTGTTTGCCTGTATGAATAATTACCGTAATAACCAAAATACAGTAACAAGCAAAATATTTGTGTGTTCGTTCACTTTTTTAAATGGAGATGAACAGGACGAGTGGGTATATTAAAAATTGATGGTTGGATGGATGGAGTTCATCTATATTACACTGTCCTTCGTGCTTTGGCTTAATTTTTCCCATTTACACTTTCGACGTCATCACTCCAAATATCGCCCAGCATTCTTGCACATTTAAATCAGCCTTTCATAAATGCGCGTAAAGACATTAATAAGGTTATTATATGAAATAATAAGGTTATTATGAGTGGGATTCTAACGACGAGGAAAAATCTTCCTTGAATACACTACAATATAATTATATACTGTAGGCACTGCCTTTTTTAGTTCCCCATATAATTTCATTTTAGTTTATATGAGATTAGAATAAATAAACGTTAATTCAAATGTATTTTTACATTTTCACACTTTTCTCCCCAAAAAGTACAACGTTAGTTCCAGGGGAGAAACCAGCGAGATTACAGTTTCTTTAATGTATACTTTCCTTCTGTTTAAGCGCCTAATCCAGCTTCATTTGTCCGTCTGATTCACCGTGCCGTGCATTTCATTCAATACGTCCCCGATTTGCATAGAACTGGCAGCCACTTATGTGATCTTTCCGTGAGAAGCCGCACGGATTGCCTGTGAATGATGAGATTTTAAATTGGAATACATTCGCAAAGAGAATGAACCCTTTAAAGTTCATTTATTTCATATAGATATGTTACTTAAAGGTACTGAAAGGTTTTTATTTTTTGATTCGCCTATCGAATCTAACGATTTCTGCCGCTCCGGCTTTACCTGCATTCAATTTTAAAGGGCTTCAGTGTGACTCGATCTGAATATAGAGTGTCATTACCTCTGTTCCCCTTACAGCAAATTGGTGGCTAAGTCCCTTCTCCAGATGAAATGAAGGCGCCCAGAGCGATTGCGTACACTGGAAATTGCATGCTTTTATTCAGCCGCGCCAAGAAGTAATAAAATATAAATATCAATACGACGGTATATATCTTCTCCAGATATAACATGCTAAAAATAGCGGGGGGTATTACTGGGGACAAGTGTGAGGATAAGGCGCTTCCCGGACGGCCGAGCGGACGCCGCCGCGCACGTATTATTAAGGAGGCGGGAATGACGATTTAATCGTTTTGCACGCGCTTTTTGTAAAGGATGAATAAACAAGTGCATTTTAAGTGGCTGGGGGTGTCAGAATAGAAAGCCCCCTTATGGGTTAAATATTGCATTCTCATTTAGTTGTAGCGACATAGTGCATGCATATGAGCGTGATTAGGCTGGGTTCAGGTGTCCCGGCCAGTGCGCTTCTCCAAGTTTGTTCTCTGCTACTTTTGGGCCACGTTGCTCCTCAAATGAACCTAGAGATGAAGCTCTGGTCCCAAGCTGTTTTTGTGCTTGGGATGCATTTCAATGTAAGTCATTAATTAATACTTAAATGAGAAAAGGCCGGGGGTGGGGCGGGGGGGTTGCTGTTCCGTAATCCCGAGAAAGGAAGAAGAGGCGAAGGTGAGGGCTGGAGTTAAAGACGCTAAGCCCCCCCCGCACGTGGAGACCGATTAGGGTGTCAGACAAACAAATCGATATCGACAATAACAGCAAGTGGGTGCAAGAGGCAGCCCCCGCCCTCCCACACCTGATAATTGCTTTCGTCTGTCAACAAACTGGTGCTGCCATCGTACACAATCTCAGCACCCCCCCCCCCCCCCCCCCCCCCCCCCCCCCATGGCGACAGGCGGTTATCTCATCTCACTACGGGGGAAATATCATGTTTAACACCACAGCAAACTGGAAATCAGCACTGATCTGAGGGAGTGTCTATCTCCATTGTACAGGCGTGGGGTTTACAGAGGAGTCTGGAACATAGTGTGTGTGGGGGTGGGGGGGGTTGGGGCGTAGCTGATCTGGGGGTGTTGCTCCTGAGGTGTTAACTAATCTCCAGTGGCCAGTCTGGGGGTAGCTCCCTCTAATTGCCCCCCCCCCCCTCGATTTCAGGATGGGGTGGGCGGGCCCCTCCGGCCTCCCTGGAGGATCCTCACCTTCATTATCGCTCCTTATTGTCAAAGCCTCGCCCAGCCAAACAGCCCCGCCGTCATGCCGGCCTGCTCTTCCCCATTCCTCCTCCTCTTCCTCCTTCACTGGGCCTTCGGTTTTAATGACGGACCGCCAGCCAGAGCTGCCGTCCTCAGACGCTCGTTTCTGGTTAATTAAATCGCGGCATGAGTTTATGGGGGGGGGGGGGGCACTTTTGCCCATAATTAACTGCTTTTTTTTTTTTTTGGTGTGTTTTTTTCTCCTCAACAGAGTGGAGCTGTTAAAACTATTCAGGGGTGTCAGAGAGAACAGCAGTGAGGAAACACGGGGGGAAATGTTGGAGGTTGGGGTCAAGTGGTGGCAGGGCAAGTGGGGGCGGTTAGGGATTAGGGCACAGGAAGGACAAGGGGTACGGACTACATCTCCTTCCTGGTTAGGGGTCACTTCACACCCCCAGTGCTGAAAAAGCCTCCTTTTGTGCAATCTCTCTGTACAGCAGATGTATCTGGCCCCCCTAGGCTAGCTGAATATCAGCACAGGTATGCTGTACACCCAAGATTCCTTCATCGTAGTGGTGGTGGTAGTGGTGGTGGG